AAATATATTAATACCATTAAGTCAATATATAATTATTATTAATTATAATAGTAATTTAGATTCAGAATAATTTCTTATTATTATTAGGCCTTTTTTATTACTGTCACTATCATTATTATTATTATTATTATTATTATTATTATTATTATCATTATTATCATTATTCTTTTATTGTAATTAGCAAGTTAATAAGGTTGCTTATTAATTATATAATTACATTTTTATATATAATATTACCTTTTAAAATATTATTTGCCTTTGCATTTGGTCACTCTTTGGTTACATATTTCATTAGTTATTATCACAGAGCTGTATTTCTCCGTCCGAGGAATGAACAAAAAAGCACATGTGCGCCTGACAAACATGCGTTTCATCTTCCCTGCGCAATGATTGACGTGCACTGAAAGACACGCGCGGGGGGCGGGGCTACACGCTTCATACGTCCAATCAGAGCGCGTAGGCGGGGTCTGTGCATCGCAGAGTCTCTGCGAGCGCTACAGTGTAACAAAAGCAGCGGGATGAAAGAGTGAAATAACGCGCGAGTGTATGAAGCGCTGCGTTCATTAATAACACTCACCGCACACACACACACACACACATACACTCACTCTGTCTAGCACTCATTCTCACTCTGCGCTCACAGGACTTCATACACACACACACACACATACACAGAGGAGCTGAGGAATCTCCGCCGCAGCTGGACAGCAGAGTACGGAGCACCAGAGCGGGCCGACATGGACGAGCAGCCGCGCCTGATGCACGCACATGCGGCCGTGGGGATGAGCGGACACCCGGGCCTGGCTCCGCACATACCGGACAACACCGGAGCCGCCGACGGGGACGGAAGAAAGCAGGACATTGGAGACATTTTACAACAGATCATGACCATCACTGACCAGAGTCTGGACGAGGCGCAGGCCAGGTGAGCTGTCAATCAGCACATTACAAAATACACTGACTTTCATCCTCATTGACATTTGATCGACTGCTCTTTCAAAAGCAATGCACTTTTAACAGACCATAATCATTTTAAAACACAATTAGAGTAGACAAATGATCTAATAGGACATTTAATGCATATTTGATTTAAACGAGTTAGTAGTAATGGTTTGAAATGCAATGCACTTTTAACAAACAACAATAATAATCATTTTAAAACATATATAGAGTACGCAAATACCTAATAGCACATTTATATAATGCATATATATTATGAACGAGTTACTTTGAAATACAATGCACTTTTAACAGACAATAATAATAATTTTAAAACATATATAGAGTAGACAAACATCTAATAGGACATTTAATGCATGTTTAATATGGACCAGCTTGTGGTAGTAATTAGAAATGCAATGCACTTCCAACATACAAAAATAATAATACTTTTAAACATATATAATTTAAAAAATGTCTAATAGCAAATTTAATATAATGCATATTTTATATGAACGAGTTTGTTGTAGTTTTTAATCCAATGTACTCTAAACAGACAGTAATAATTTTAAAATGTGCAGTAAATAGAGCAGAAACATATCTAATAGCACATTTAATATAATGTATATTTTATTTGAATGACTTAAAAGTAGTTTGAGATGCAGTGCACTTTTAATAAACCATAATAAATACAGTATATAGAGTAGAAAATAAACTAATAACACAGTTAACAATATGCACATTTAATATGAACGAGTTAGTAGTTTGAAATACAATGCACTTTTAACAAACAACAATAGTCATCGTTTTAAAATATAAAGATTATATAATAGCACAGAGTGGTAGTTTGAAATACAAAGCACTTTAAATAACGTAATGTGCAGTATATGGAGTAGACAAATATCTAATTGCACGTTTAATATAATGCATATTTAATATGAACGAGTTAGTCGTAGTTTAAGATGCAATGCACTTTTAACAAACCATAATAAACATTTTAAAGCATATAGAGAGTAGAAATGTATCTAAAAGGACATTAAATGCATGTAATATGAACAAGTTACTTTTGAAATGCAATGCATTATTAACAGTCAATAATAATTTAAAAACCTGCAGTATATACAGTAGAAAAATAACTAATAGCACATTTAATACAATGCAGATTTAAAATGGACGAGTTAGTAGTAGTTTGAGATGCAATGCACTTTTAACAAACAATAATAAACATTTTAAAACATATAGAGAGTAGAAATATATCTAACGGGACATTTAATGCATGTATAATATGAGCAAGTTACCTTTGAAATACAATGCATTATTAACAGACAATGATCATTTTAAAACCTGCAGTATGTACAGTAGAAAAATAACTAATAGCACATTTGATATAATGCAGATTTAAAATGGACGAGTTAGTAGTAGTTTGAGATGCAATGCACTTTTAATAAACAATAATAAACATTTTAAAACATATAGAGAGTAGAAATATATCTAATAGGACATTTAATGCATGTATAATATGAGCAAGTTACCTTTGAAATACAATGCATTATTAACAGACAATGATCATTTTAAAACCTGCAGTATGTACAGTAGCGTAGACAAATATCTAATAGCACATTTAATATAATGCAGATTTAATATGGACGAGTTAGTAGACTGAAATAAAATACACCTTTAACCAACAATAATAATAATTTTAAAGCATACATAAAGAAGAAATAAATCTAATAGGACATTTCATGCATATGCAATATAAGCAACTTACTTTGAAATACAATGCATTATTAACAGACTATGATCATTTTAAAACCTGCAGTATATAGAGTAGAGTAGACAAATATTTAATAGCAGATTGATATAATGCCTATTTATTATGAATTGGTTAGTAGTAGTTTAAAATACAACGCACTTTTAACAAACAATAATAATCTAAAAACATATATAGAGTAGACAAATATTTAAAATGATAATTAATGCATATTTAATATTGTAATATAGTTCGAAATGCTATGCATATTCAACAGACAGTAATCATTTTAAAAAGTGCATTAAATAGAGTAGAAAAATATCTACTAGCACGTTTATATAATGTATTTATTTTAAAGGTAAGTGGTTGCAAACAATTTATATGAGCTGAATATTAAATATTAAATGTAGTAATGTGCAACTTTTATAAATAGTTTGCAACCACTAACCTTAAAACATTTAGTAAATCCATTCAATCATTTTTGTTCAGTGTATATACAGTGCACATTTTATATGAATGAGTTAGAAGTAGTTTCAATTATGTATAAATGTAAATTACTAGACATGTATAATGCTTCTAGTTTACATAAATGTGCAAAAAGCTTTAAGAGTTTCATTTTGTAACTTAATTATTGCATGAAATGCCCCCAAATTTGACATAAAACGAGGTGATGACAAAAAGATATTTTATCTAAATTTATTAAGCTTATTGTGTGCATAAAAAAATAAAACAATTAACATATGACATACACATTCATACTTATTGACTTCTTAAAATATAAAACATTTCAAAATTAAAGCAATCAATATGCATGCATGCATGTGTGTAAATGTATTATTTTATTAGTCACACACACACTAAGCTAAATAAATATAGATAAATGTCTGATTAACCTAATTTAATTCTCATCATCTTATTTATTTGTGATAAATTCCATGCAATAATTAAATACAACCTTAAACACCTAAAGCTTTTTTGCATTGAATCTATTTCTCACATATGAGCTCAGTAAAAGCAAAAAATGCAGCCCCTAACCGGGACATTACAGCAGAAAAAGGTCACCATCGTGATGGCGCACGGTTTAAATGCTTGACATCTTTATAATAATTGACATTAGCAGATGTTTAGACGCAGATCAGGAGTTATTGACATAAGTAGGCATCCAGAAATGGACTGATAACACAATCGCTGTTGTCAGTGTGTCCAAACACATGTGGTGTGTAGTGACAGACATCAGTGTATTTTTCTGACACGCAGTGCTCATTTTTTGTCAATAGAAACGAACAGATGCCAAGATAGACTTTGACAGACAGCGCAGAGACTCGTATCTATCACACATCTGATCGTGTGTCCCTTTAGGATGAATGCAGAGGCTCTTAATTCATCACGATCAAATAAAATCGCGATGTTATTTTATATATGTGAGCCAGAACCACAAAATTAGATTGTTATGTTGTGAATAGCCAGAAAAACTCATTGCATAGGTCAAAATGATTGATTTTTTTATTTATGTCAAAAATTATTAGATAATTAAGGAAATTTACTGTAAATTTATCCAAACTCAATTTTTGATTGGTAATATGCATTGGTAATCACTTCATTATGCACTATTTTTAATATCTTTATGTTTTATAGTTGTATTTCTGCCTAATATTATTTATTGTAATGAAGTATACACTGATGATAATATTATTTATTCAGATTTTCTTCAGATGTATGAATTGCAATTTAAAAAGATACTTATTAGCTTTAGCATGCAGTGTTATAATTGCTGTAATTAATTACAGCATGCAATATTAAATCACGTTTTTATTAATAAATAAAGAGTGGATAAATAAATAAATAAATAAAAAAGAGTGAATAAATTAATTAATAAATGAATAAAGGAGTAAATAAATAAATAAATAAATAAAAAGGAGTGAATAAATAAATAAATAAATAAATAAATAGATAAATAAATGAAGGAGGGAATGAATAAATAATTAAATAATTAACTAAAGTGGTTAATAAATAAATAAATAAATAAATAAATAAATAAAAAGGAGTGAATAAATAAATAAAAAGGAGTGAATAAATAAATAAATAAATAAATAAATAAATAAATGGAGGGAATAAAAAATGAAAAATAAATAAAATAGAGTGAATAAATAAATAAATAGATAAATAAAAAAATAAAAAAATAAATGCATGAATAAACAAATAAATAAATAAATAAACAAAAAGGAGTGAATAAATAAATAAATAAATAAATAAATAAATAAATAAATAAATAAATAAATAAATAAATACATAAATAAATAAATACATAAATAAAGGAGTGAATAAATAAATATTGAACGTTTAATATAAAGCTTTTTTTTTTTTTTTGCTGTTTCCAAAACATTAAAGGTGTTCAGTAATGACATTCTGCAGTATTACTTTTTACATTAGATGCAAATACACAAAAACATCCATTTTTAATTCCTGAAATGATTGTAGATGTTACTAATAGATATGTATGACTGCTTTCGAGGAAGCTTCAGTGTTATGATTGGTATTAAAAGCTAGATAGTGAGTGCATCACTAAATCATAAATGTTTTTGCATATGCATGAGTTTAATGTAAAGCATTTCATTTTTCCACTGTTTCTAAGACAGTTACATTACATAAGACATTACAGTTTACAATACATGCAAATCCACAAAAATATGCATCAATATTAATTTCTGAAATGATTGTAGATTCAGTGTGTTATGATGGTTATTAAAAGCTAAATATTGAATGCATTACTAAATAATGAGTGTTTTTGCATATGCATGAGTTTAATATAAAGCATTTAGTTTCTTTACTGTTTCCAAAACGATAAAGATGTTCAATAATGATATTACTGTTTACATTACATGCAAATATACAAAAATATCCATTATTATTAATTTCTGAAATGGTTGTAGATGTTACTAATACACATGTATGACTGCTTTCATGGTAGCTTCAGTGTTATTAAAAGCTAAATAGTGAGTGCATCACTAAATCATGAGTGTTTTTGCGTATGCATGAGTTTAATAAAAGTAAAGATGTTCAATAATGATACTACTTTTTACAATACATGCAAATACACAAAAATATCTATTATTATTCATTTCTGAAATGATTGTAGATGCAGTGTGTTATTGTTATTAAAAGCTAAATAGTGAATACATTACTAAATAATGAGTGTTTTTGCATATGCATGAGTTTAATATAAAGCATTTGGTTTCTTTACTGTTTCCAAAACGCTAAAGATGTTCAATAGTGATCATTACTGTTTACATTACATGCAAATACACAAAAATATCCATTGTTATTAACTTCTGAAATGGTTGTTGATGTTACTGATGGGCACTCATGGCTGCTTTTGTGGCACTGTAGCTTCAGTGTTATGACTGTTATTAAAAGCTAAATAGTGAATGCATTATTAAACCATGAGTGTTTTTGCATATGTATGAGTTTATTATTTTGGACACAAATATTTAAAACATTAAATGACGCCTTTAATTTAGAGATGAAACCTAGTGTTGAGTTAGCTATCTTTGGGGTACCAGAACACAATATATTGTTGACAAACAAACAAAAAAAAATAATGTATTTGCCTTCGCTACTTTGTTAGCAAGAAGAAGAATACTACTTGAGTGGAAATCTGCAGCTTCACCTAAAGTTTCAATGTGGATGTGTGATCTGATTTTATATTTGAAATTAGAGAAAATTAAGTATTTAATAAAGGGACCTGTCCAAAAATTTTATGAGACATGGCAACCTATGATCACACATTTTGAAAAAAAGGAAGACTCTCTCCTTTAACTGATTTATATAAATAAATCTGTGCAAACAGGTTTAACTGTGATCACCAATATGGTTTAGTTCGATATTTATGTAAAAGACCTCTATAAATATAACAGAATATTGATTTGTATTATCATGTGCTGTAGGTAATTATTTATTTTAATTATTTTTAAAGTTTATTTATTTTTTAAATTAATTTACTATTATTATTATTTTATTCTTTTTATTTAATTATTTTCTATTATTATTAATATTTTTTATTTTGCTATACTTTTATCTATTCCTGTTGCAATTGTATTTTAATTTTAGTTGTTTGCTAATTCATTTTTGCGGCAATGTTCGAAAATCGGGGGAAAATTATTACCTTAAATGTACAAAATGTTTTGTTAAAGCTTGAGAAAATAATCACAAATAAATGTTTAAAATAATAATAATAATAATAATAATAATAATAATAATAATAATAATAATAATAATAATAATAATAATAATAATAATAATAATAATAATAATAATAATAATATAAAGCATCTAGTTTCTTTACTGTTTCCAAAACAGTTAATATGTTCAGTAATGACGTTCTACAGTATTACTTTTTAAGTGTTACTTTTTACATTACATGGAAATATACAAAAATATCCATTATTATTAATTTCTAAAATGGTTGTAGATGTTACTAATGGAGTTTTATAAATGTTGTGCTTACAGTAAACATTAAGCAGAGACTGTATTGTTGTATCTCAAGCAGATATTATTTTTCCTAATAAAGTCTTCATCAGTTTTCAGATGATGTTTAAATTGCAATTTTAAAAAGACACTAATGACTTTTGCTTTTGTAGCAGCTTCAGTATATGCATTGTTAATAAATGCTAAATAGTGAGTGCATTACTAAATCATGAGTGTTTTTGCATATGCATGAGTTTATTATAAAGCATTTAGTTTACTGTTTCTAAAACGATAAAGATGCTCAATAAAGACATTACTTTTTACATTACATGCAAATATACAAAAATATCCATTATTAATTTCTGAAATATTTGTAGAAGCAGTGTTATGATTGTTAAGCTAAATAGTGAATGCATTACTAATTTATGAGTGTTTTTGCATGTGCATGAGTTTTATAAAAAGTAAAGATGTTTAATAATGACATTACTTTTTACATTACATGCAAATATACAAAATTATCCATTATTAGTTTCTGAAATGATTGTAAAAGCAGTGTTATGATTGTTAAGCTAAATAGTGAATGCATACTAATTTATTAGTGTTTTTGCATATGCATGAGTTTAATAAAAAGTCAAAATGTTCAATAATGACATTACTTTTTACATTACATGCAAATATACAAAATTATCCATTACTAATTTCTAAAATGATTGTAGAAGCAGTGTTATGATTGTTATTAAAAGCTAAATAGTGTAAATCATGAGTGTTTTGCATATGCATGAGTTTAGTAAAAAGTAAAGGTTTTCCAAAACATGTTCAGTAATGACGTTTTTACATGCAAATATACAAAAATATTCATTATTATTTTCTGAAATGATTGTAGATGCTACTAATTGTGTTTTATAAATGTTATGCATACAGTAAGCGTTAAGCAAAGACCGCAATGTTGTATCTTAACCAGAGATTAAGTATACATCAGTTTTTAGATGATGTTAAAATTGCATTAAAAAAAAAAAAAAACAGAGACACTCATGACTTATGCTTTTGTGGCAGCTTCAGTGTTATGATTGTTATTAAAAGCTAAATAGTGAATGCATTACTAAATCAAGAGTGTTTGTGCATATGCATGAGTTTAATGAAAGAAAAGATGTTCAATAATGACATTACTTTTTCACATTGCATGCAAATACACAAAAATATCCATTATTGTTAATAATTTCTGAAATGATTGTAGATGTTACTAATGGCGTTTTCTAAATGTTGTGCAGCATTAAGCAGAGGCTGTAATGTTGAGTGTGAGTGCTTTTATTTCTCCACGACTGCTCCGCGCTCAGGCAGCAGGCAGATAAATAACTCTTAGCAGGCAGAAGGAAATGTTGGTCTGCTCAGTCGCTCACCGCGGCCCTGTGTTGTGTTTCAGAAAACATGCGCTCAACTGCCACAGAATGAAGCCAGCACTCTTCAACGTCCTGTGTGAAATCAAAGAAAAAACAGGCAAGTTCTCTTTATGCTTTTTAAAGAGGAGAGAATTCTTTGCGAGATCTTTATTTACTTTAGTGGCTGGATGTTTCTTGTGCATTTCTAATGTTGTGTCTGGTCAATGCTGTTCGCATTATGCATATTCAGCAATGTAAATATTCAACGGGTGTAATTGGAAAAACAGAGCTGTGCTGTTTTACGTCATTGCTGTGCATTTGATGTGTGTTTGTTGTGATCAAAGTGAAGAGATTGTTTTTTTTTTTTTTGGTGTTTGATTTAAGGTACAATTTCCGCTGTTGATGAAGCATTAACTGTGACTTTTAGCTCAGTAAACTAGCGATTTTAATAGCTATTAAAGAAGAAGTTAGGTGTTAGATTAGATCCAGAATATTATCATTGTGCTTTATAGTTACTTATTAATAAATATTTAATTTTAACTACTTCTAATCTTAATATCTAAAACCTTATAAGATATAAATATCTTAATAACATGCAGGTGATAAGCCAGGATCTGCAGAATTTTTATATATATATATATATATATATATATATATA